ACTTGAATTTTTTAAAATTTATCGTAATATTTTATTTATAAAATTGCGAGAGAAAAAGCATGATTTGAGTAATTGTAAAGATAGGGATACTAAGAGAATCGTTAGCAATTAGCAAAACATTAAAGCTTATATAACTACTTAAAAAAACATTAAAGCTTACCGTTGTTTAAAATTTGAGAAGCATTAAAGCTTATTACCACAAACAACAAAACAAAAACATTATTGCAGATTCTTTTTTTTTTTTCGTTTTATTTCTTTCGGAAAAGATAAGAGAGGAAGAAAATGAAAAAAGAAAATGATGAGATTGTAAAATGGTGAATGATAATAAAATAAAAGAGTATAAAAAATCATGAAAAAATTCTTGAAATCTTAAAATTCTCGATTGAATTTGTCATTAAAGTTGAAAAAATTCCAATATTCGTTTACACTGATTGACTCAAATGCTAAAATTATTTCTACATTATGTTGAATAAAATTTTAATCGTTTTCACACTTACCATGCTAACTTTTTGCTCGAAAGTATACTTTTCAAATAGATTGTTTATTTTGAACGTTTTAAAGATGTAAAATTTCATCAAAATTTAAAGAATGAAAAAAAATGGACCACATTTGCGGACAGCAGCATTCTTATAAAATGCTTCGGCAATGTTAATTACATTAAATTAAAAGGAAAAAAAAAGAGGGAATTTATGGAATGAAAGAAAATGACGGGATATGGAAATGCAATTAGAAATAAGATATTGATAGCAAAAAAAGAGAAAGAGAAAGAGAGAGAGGGAGAGAGAAAGAGAAGAAAAGAAGGAAGATAAAATTGAAATTAAATTGAAATAGCTGAAATGTTATTAAAATTGCATGAAGAAATGAAGTCTTAAATGACATTTGAAATTTCTTTTCTTTTTTCCTTTGTGTTTTTTTTTTTGTTTGTTAAGGTAAAAGAGAATCATAAAAGGTAAGTATAACATAAATTGTTATTTGAAGAGTAATAAATTGGACTGTATTGAATGGCTGAATAAGGGAAAAGGAGAGAGGGCAGGAGAGCGAGGGAGGGAGAAAGAGGGAGAAAGAGGGAGAAAGAGGGAGGAAAAGAGAGAGAGAGAGAGAAAAAGGGAGGGAGAGAGAGGGAAAGATGGGAGAAAACGGATAAAAGATTTGAAACATTTTATCGTTGCCCGGGTAACAGATGAGAATTATGAAATAATCCAATCCATGCATATCTTACTTACCAAAAAAAAAAAAATTAATTTTCTGCCAAATGCTTTTTCAGTTCTTCCGCATGCAAAATGAAATGAGAATGTTTTATGTGAAATGATAATGAAGTCACGTAAATGAGAGACATTTATCCGTCTATTTATTTTTTTTTCCAATAACAATTTATCTCATCCAACCTTAAATTTTTTTTATAGTTTCAATTTTAT